GGGGCAGTTGTTATTGCCCATGAGATGGGCACGAGCTCACCTACAGGTGACATTTAAATTGAGGTGACGGAGGACACCACCATGGGGATACCTGGGGGTAAAGTTCATCAGACGCAGGTTCTGACATTACGAAGGCCCCATGGTAGGAACATACTGGCATATTGAGGGGTGATAAAGAGGCTGCTGTGGCTGTACGTCAGTGATCCACGGGCTAAGAGGGGTTCACATCAGAGAGGCAGCAGCAGCCCTATCATGGGGCTGTGGAGGTCATTGCAAAAATGTTGCCTTTTACTCTGACTGACATGAAACGTCATTGGGGGCTTTTAGAGAGAGCTGTGACATGACCTGGCTTGTTTTCAGGGACTGCTCTGGCTCTTGGTTTGAAAACAGACCACGGGCAACGGGTCCTTTGGCAGGGGGGCCAGTGTGAGCCGGTGGCGACTTGGATCAGTGGCAGAGGCGCAGGTGGTGAGAAGCGGAAGACGCTGGATGTATTTCGAAGGTAAAGCCAACAAGGTTTACTAATATATTGCACTGGATGTTGGGGGTGGGGATGGGTGAGAGACAAAGAGAGTCAAGGAATGATTCCTAAATAACTGGATGGATGTCCCTGCTGGGACGAGGGAGACTGAGTGGAGAAGGGGTGGAGGAGGAAATCGACTTAATGTTCACATCGCCTCTATAAGGTAGGTGCTACGGTTATGTTCCACAAAACTGGGACTCAGTGAGGTGAAGCCTATGGTCCATACGCCATGCACAGTGCTGTGAGCTCCAAGAAAGAACTCCCCTGCGGCACAGGGCTAGAGCGTTTGGAGTTGGGGAGCTCCTGAGGGTGGGAACTGCTGAGGCTGTGTCCTAGCACTCCAGAGCCAACTACGCAGGAGGCCCCCACCTCTGACTCACACCCTGTTTGCAGGGCACTCAGGCACCTGTCCTAGCCTCAGGGGGCTTCTTGTCAACCTGGAACCAAGAGGCAATCAACAGTAAGTGGTAGGGGCTTTCTCCTTAGGCATTCCAACCAAAATGCAGACAACCAAGAGGGCTGCAGGCCTGCAAATCTCTATCTTAGAATGCATGGTCCATGCAGTCGGAGGGTGTTCAGAAGTGTCTTCGCACAAGCTGGGGGAAAGGAAGAGATGTCTCCAGCTCCTCCTCCTCTTCCCCACCCACGTTCCTGACCATCCAATATGCTTTAGGGGCGGAAGAAGAGGACAAGGGATAGAGGTAAACAAAAGCAGGAGGCAAGGAGAAGGGAGACTTCCTTTAAATGCATGCTGTGCTGATTCAGAAAATAGGGTAGGAGGACGGAAATCTCCAAGAACCGCTGCCGCCTTCTGGCCCTAAAAGATGCACGTCCACGACTACGCACTGATCTCTGGGTTCGCCAAACACCACGGTGGAGCCACGCTTCAGAGGAAAACACTGCCTGCTTTCTCAAGTCAAACACATCAGAGACTGTGGTCTATAAGCCACATGTGGTGCTGGGGGTGCCAAGAAATAGTGATGAAAGAAAATGGTTGAAATCTAGACATAGAAGCTCTATACAGCTCTACTTTTGCTCAGTGACACTGCAAGTTGTATTAGCCACTGAGCCCTGCTATGTGCCTAATATCTCCTTTAACCCTCAGAGCAAATAGGTGAGGTCGTTTTTATTACCCACCTCTCACAGATGAAGACACAGAGGTTCAGAAAGGTCACACTCTCCAGTCAGTCATGGAGCTGAATTGGAAACCAAGTCAGTCTATTTCGGAGCCGGTGTCTTTTTTTTTTTTAAGTTTATTTATTTATTTTAAGATAGAGAGAGAGACAGCGAGCAGGGAAAGGCTAGAGAGAGAGGGGGAGAGTATCCCAAGCGGGCTCCATGCTGGCAGCAGAGCCCCATGGAGGGCTCGAACCCATGAACTGGGCGATCATGACCTGAGCCTAAATCAAGAGTTGGACGCTCAACCAACTGAGCCACCCAGATGCCCCTCGGAGCCTGTGTCTTAACTATTATACTTTACTGCCTCCCAGAGGAAAGGGTGAAGAGGGAAACGCTGAAAATAGTAACACTCCCCTCCCCCACCTGCTTTGCTTCCGGTGCTCTGCAGAGGCAGAAAATTGAGAAACCTTCCATGCTTTCTGGCCTAAGGTCTGTATCAACTTAAAAAAATATACAATTATTTCTGATATCAGATGCCTGTTCTTCTCTAGGAAATAAATTAATAGAATAAGAAAGATCTTTAGAGATGCAAAGAGCTGACCTTGAAATCCACAGAGAAGGGTAAGTATACTTCTCAAGGTCAAGTTCTTCAAGGTGGCAGAACTAAGGTCAAAAGGGCAGCGCTCCTGCCTCCCAGGCCAAGGTGGGGCTGGGTCCCCAGAGCTCATTTGAAGGTTATCATTGCCCTGCCCTAATGGATGAGTGCTTGAAGGAGGAGGATTGCTTTTTGCATGCTAGAGGTTTTAAACACAAGCTGAACTCAGTCAAACAGTTTTTAAACAAGGCTTTTCTAGCACCTTCTGATGAGTAAGTCTCTGCCATCTCCTTTCCCCGCTCCTAGGTCATGTGCTCTTTTGAACTAGGAGAGTCCTACTATCACTCCTTGTATTTAGCTGGAGTGGGTGCTCCTCTGTCTGGGGCAGATGATTATATTTCTAGCTCAGAACCTGCTGTAATTTACTCTGGCCTCCCACACTACTATGCCTCTTCTGCCTGCCTGCCTGGCTTCTACTGACCTCTGCAATTTGGACCCATTCCACCCAGCTCCTCTTCTTCTTCCCTATACCGTGACACACTCCCTTCATATCAGATCGGGATCCAGGGCTCACCCCGTTTCCGCCACAGAAATACCCTCCCTGCTCTCTTTCAATGCAAATCCATTCTTCACAGCTTTGCTCAGACCTTTCTGCCCCAGAAGATTTCCCCATGTACCTACAGCCCCACGATATGCTTTCCAAGCTCCCTTTACATTTATTTTTTCAAGTACATAATTTGGCCCTTGAAGTGTTTCTGCACATTCCTCCAAATGCAATTCAGGCCCCTTGAGGGCAGGCCCATGTGTTCATCGGTTCACTAGAGATTTTTGAAAGCACTTTATACGGTGAGATACAAAGAGAAGTAGAAGCAATGGTTGCTTCTTGTCCTCGAGGAGGGGAGGCTAGTTTGTAGACGTCTGTCTGGCACAGAGTGGACCCTCCACACAGGTTTGTTATATTGAACTATATGATTATATATAAATATATATAATGCCTCTTCTTGCAACTATTAGCTGTCTCTAAGTGTCACGAGAGGCGGTGTTATAGGGAAGGCATCATGAAAGAAGTGGCATTTGAACTAGGCCTTAAGGACAAGGAATGTTATTTTAAAAACAAAATTGGCAGAGGAAACTGTTCCTACAGCACCGTCAGGCACACACAGTGCCAGGCATACAGCAGCCACCAGCTTCAGGGGGGAAAGCAGTGGCGTTCTGTCCTTGCTCCAGCACCAACTAGCCTCAGCGAGAGCAGGCAAGTTGCTTAACTTCCCTGCCCCCTCTCCTTTCCTTCCCACTCCAAAGCAGCATGGGCTCTGGAAGAAAGAGATCCAGGTTCAAGTCATGGCTCTGTGACCTTGATCCAATCAGCTGGGGTGGGGGCTCAGTTTCCTTCCTATAAAAGGGGTAAAATAATCCTACCTTACAAGGCTGTTTGTGAGGTTTTAAGTACACATTTAAGTTGTTAAATGCCGAGATGTGTTTTATTTCTTTCTACCAGACTAGGGGTGGCAGCCCCCATCTTCCTCCCTGCAGACTTCCCCAGGGCACAGCACAGAGCCCGTCCGTAGTTGGGCTATGGACAGACTGCAGGAACCCTAAAGAGAAAATGGGGGTGCAAAGGACTTCAGAAAAAAAAGTAAACAGCATGGACATGGACTGACCAGGCTAAGTGGGATGCTAAGTGGGATGTTTCCCTGAATAGACTTCCCGCAGTTCAAGAATCTTTGCTAACTCTCCCTAAACATGCCTCTGCAGAGCCAACTGGTTTCTCGACAGCTCCTTCTGCCTCCGCCTTCAATCTCCAGGAAAGAGTCAAGGCCCAACCCCGTGGCGGGCTTAGAGGATGGGATGGATGGGGAGGCGGGATTTCCCTAACTCCCAGGGGCAAAGTTCCGGAGGTGTCCGTTCCACCTCCTTACTCCCACCCTAGGGATTCTGGCCTCCTGGAGCCTCCCCTCCGCACCCCGCCCCCCCCCCCGCTTTCATTTCTCTTTCGAAGGCCGAAGGAAGGTCTTCGAATCCCCGCCCAAGGCAAAAGCTCATCCCCGGCTCTCCTCCCCGCCGATCCTCCTGGGCCACCGCCACTTCAGCCGCCTATCCGTGGGGCCCTCGTGGCCCCTGCTCAGTAGCCAGTCTCGGCCGCCGGTCGACCTGCCTGCGCTCCTCCTCCCTTGGCCACCGACTCCTCTCGGTCCCCGCCTCAGCAGAAAATAGCCGCCGCCTCCCTACGTCCGCGCCTCTTGCCCCCTCCCACTCGGCCACTTCAGTCGCCTGCCCCGGCCTCCGTAGACCCCGCCGGGACACCCGCCCGTCTCCTCCCACCAGTTTTCCTGACTGCGTTTTCGGCTTACCACTGCCTGTCTCCCACCTGGGTGCCCAGTTCAGATTACCCCAGCCCCTGCCGGGGCAGGACCCTGCCGCGCGTGCTGCCTCTTCGGCATATTTCCGGTCTCCCCTCCTTAGTGGAGGGTTGGCTGCTGTCCCCTCAAGGCGCGTGTGCGTGGTGGTTTCCGGTTGGAGTGCCCCGGCCTTCCTTCTGGTAGTGGGTCGGTGGCCACAGGAGAGGAGTGCAGGAGGTGGCCCCTCCTCCTTCCTCCCTCGTCCGGCCTCCTTTTCATCGCGCGCGTCTGCCCGTCGGTTCTCTCTCCGGTTGCTCCGCAGCGCTCATGTGCGCCGTCGTCTATTTGGGAGCCCGAGGATCTGCTGCGCGTTGCCCTGCTCGCTCACCTGCAGTCCGGCGGCTCACCACCTGCCGCGCCCGCCATGCTCCTCGAGCCAAACCAGTGGCAATTAAGGGCGGCACACGGCGCCGCGAGCCCTCGGAGAAGGGCGCCCAATCTGTCGGCGGTGGCGCATGATATGGCGAAGAAGCCGCCGCCGGCGCCGGGCAGCAGCCGCCGCCGCCCGCGTGCTCCACCCGCAGCAGCACCCGTCGCGGTCCGCAGAACGCAGCAGGCCACCGCGGCGGCAAATCCGCCGCCGCCGCCGCCGCCGTCTGTCCGAGGTTCCGTTCAAGCGCAGGTCGGGCCGGCGCTCTCAACTTTCTCTTCTTCATCTCCCGGCGGCGGCGGCGGCTTCGCCTTCAATACTGGCAGGTGTGTCCACCACGTCCTGGAGGAGGTCCAGCAGGTCCGGCGCGGCCACCAGGACTTCTCCCGGCAGAGGGAGGAGCTGGGCCAGGGCTTGCAGGGCGTCGAGCAGAAGGTGGGTACCCCGGGCCCCCATCCGCGGCCCCCGAGCCACGGCCGGGCCCCTGGCTCTGCCCAGGCCTCGGTGCCTGAGCGGGGCCCTCTGCACGGCCGGCCCCGGCCGGGGATGCCCCGTCCCCGGTCCCCCCCTTCCCCCCACCCTCCCCCCCGTTCCCGGGCGGTCCCCAGACCCTCTTTGTTAATGGCCGCGGAGGAATGGGCCCCGAGGGATGGGCCGCTGCGAGGATGGTCAGGCCAACGAGCCAGGGTGGGCCAAGGGCCTGTCACAGGGCATTAGCGGTGACCTGTAAGGAAGCCGCCGGGCTCTGGGGAGCCCATTCTTTTTGGATTAGGAACCGCTGAATGGGCAGAGTTATCTGAAAAGGAGGTTGGAAGGGACGCCAGCGCATCCCTGGAAGCCTCGGGCAAGGCCACACCTGGGCTCTCCCCGTGGGAGACGTCTGAGCCAGGTTTTAATAGATCCAGACCCCGGGGAAGGAGAAACAAGTAATCATATTCATTTGTGAAGTTCAAATGAAATATTACATATCTTCAGGCCCCTTGCCTTTTAGTGGACCAATGTCTCCATGTGGGCCTTTGAAATACCATATACCAGCTTTAGAGGAAAGGAAAGGCCCAAAATACTAGAGGGTACTGGTGAGTAATATCACAAGGCACATTTACATGATGTTAAGAGGGCTTACTCATTATCTAATCATCATAGCCACCCTGGCTGGGAGGGAGGACTAGCGGTTTTGACTCCTTTTCCAGACCAGAAAATTGAGGTTTAGAGAGATTAAGTGAATTGATAAAGATCCTAGCTGGTGAGTGGCAAACTGCATGAGAATGCCTAGGCCACTGCCCAGTGGGGGGGTCCACAGAGGCCTCTCTCAGGTGTGGATGGACCCAGCTTTCACCATAAAGCTTCTCACGTTCCACCCTGTCTGTGTTTTTCAACACCAAGTGCGGCTCTCTTGGCCTCCTACCTCCTCCTCCGGCCTCCACTAATGTCACCGCTCAATGAAAGTTAGTTGTATGATCGAAACAAAAAATCCCGCCACCACTTCTGAGCCCGGAACTGCTGCCTCCTTTTTCCCAGCATGCTGCCTGCCCTGCCAAGTTTCTATCGACTTTTGTGGAGTATGCAGGACTAGGAATTTCCTCTTAAGACTGGCAGAGCAACTGGAATGAGTCAGCCTGCTCAATGCTGCAGGCCAAGGGAGGTGACTTTCTGTAGGGATTTAAGTAGGCAGCGCTGCTTTGCCTATCCTGAATGTCAAGTCATTCTTAAGAAGTAGACAGACTGCTGGAGGATAATCACTAGCCTCTGTTTCCTCTCTTTCATCCACCCACTTACCAATCCATCACAATATTTATTGAAGTCTGATAGTGATAGGGCTGCGTGTTGGCCCTGTAGGGGGTACAGAGGTACAGTAGACAAATCTGGTTTTGCGAAGCAGCACATAAGTGGGTCTCAGTTGAGGGTCACCGTTGTGTGAGTTCCGAAGGAGAGAGTGTGTAGAGTTTGCCTAGGCCCGTATGCCCAGTGGCCAAGGTGGTGCCAGTCTAGGTCTAGCTGGTGGTCAATAACTGTTGAGAGAAGGAATGAAGACACAGGCAGGAGGTTCTATCTTGAGTATGTTGGGACAGCAGTGGCTACCTGGCCTGTAGCAGGACGGGAGAGAAGCTGAGGCCCAGATGAAATTGAGGTCTTGAATCGATGTTGAAGACATTGGGCTTCTTTCTCTCTCCTTCTCCCCTGCCTCTCCCTCTTTCCTTCCCTTCCGGCTCCCACCTCTCCTCTTATGGAAGCTGTATGCAGATGACTTTCCTCTTTGGGGCTCAGTTTTCTCATCTACACAGGGAGGGGAGGGCTCTGTCCAGAGTTTTAAGAATCCACCTGGCCGTAGACTCTTGAAACAGTGACCTTTCTTTTTCATTTAGCATGTAGGCCAGCTGTTATGTAATGCCTCGTATTTATTGGGTACTCCTGTCTTTTGACCCTCACAGCAGCTCCAAGAGGTGAGCACTAGGATACTCCCCTTGCACAGATGAGGAGTGTGAGACCCAGGAGGCAGAGTAACGGCAAGGTCTCCCAGCTAGTAAGTGGCAGGTCTAGGGTTCCTCCTGCAGTTAGCTCCTGCAACACCCTCAACCGTTTGTTCATCTTGTTGTCTTTCCCATGCCTTGCCAGGTTCGTAGTAGGTCTTCAGCTAAGCTGCTTCCAGTGATGTGGAACTCAGAATGTGCCCAGAACAGTATTAGGATTTGTCACGGTGTGTGGCCATTTCTGTCGGCACCTCTGAGGTGGCCAGTGAAGAAGTTCCTTTGCTCTGAAGAGAGTAGTGCTGGCTGCTCTGACAACCTAAGTGTGAGCCCCTTTGTAACTTTGTATGATGCTCCGTGTGGGGTGGGGTTTGGTCCTTTGCAGGAATGTAGACCTGCAATATTATTATTCATAAGTAGTATTTGGTATGGGTTAGGCGTCCGTTTTTATTTTAAAGTTTATTTATTTATTTTGAGAGAGAGAGAGAGAGACAGTGCAAGTGGGGGAGGAGCAGAGGGAGAGGGAGAGAGAGAATCCCAAGCAGGCAGAAGGCTCCACGCTGCCAGCACAGAGCCAGATGCAGGGAACCGCGAGATCGTGACCTGAACTGAACCCAAGAGCTGGACGCTTAACCGACTGAGACGCCCAGGTGGCCCCATTGTGGGCTAGGCATCCTTTTAAGTGCTTCCCAGCCACCCTCTGAAGCAGGTCCCTTTTATTAGCACCGTTTCACAGATGGACCCGCTGGACCTGGAGCGGTCGTGTTACCGTTCAGGGTCACATGCAGACCTTAAGTATTGGAACTGGGATTGGAGTCAGAGCAGTGTGACCTGAAGCCCTCTACTCTGTGTAGTGGGTGCCCACCTCGTCTCCATCTGCACGTGCCCTGCCGGATGCCTGGAGCCTGGGCAGAGAAGCTGGTCTGTCCTTCCATGGAAGACTGAGCGGGGACTTCAGAAATGTTGGCAGTTCAGTCTGAGGCCCTGAAGGGCCAGTGTTGCCCTGGCAGATCCGGGGTGGCGTAAGGTGCTTGCAGGAACGGGCCTCCGAGGGACAGCTGGATGAGAGGAGCAGCTGTTTGTAGAAGATGGAGTCCTCTGGTTGTATTTCTTTGTTTCTCATTTTGACTCTGCAGGAGTCCGGGCTTCTGGCGGAGGCAGCGTCTGAGCCCTCGGTGCACTTGGGACACGCCTCTGCTCTGGCTCATCCCTGGAGGTTAAGAGCTCAGTGGTGAAGTCACCCATTCTGGGAGTTTGATGCTCATCATGACCGCTTCCCAGTCTCCTCATTTGTAAACTGGAGATCAGTGGGAACCACCAACTCAGGAGGTTATTACGAGGGTGGAATGAGATGATGTCTCGGAAGTACTTTGCATAGTTTTCGGTACACAGTAAGTGCCTCGTTGAAGGTCAGCTACCACCGTCTCCCCTCGTGCTGTGAGCTCCTTGAGCGCAGGGATCCTGTTCTAGCCATTACTTTTCTCTGGTGTCTTGCCCACCGTGTAGTGAGCACCCCGCATATGTTGGGGGAACAGATGCATCATTGCATATTGATTATAATGGGGTCTTTGCATGTAAAGATGAACAGCGCACAGCACCATCGGGAGGGGGGACGATTTCTGTGTTCTTTTTATAGTGTTGGAGGTTGGGGTGTTTGGTTTCCTCCATGATTTCTGATCTAGTCCGCTTCCTGGCCATTTGCAAAGAGTCAGCCCAGGTTAGGGGTGACAGGGATCAGAGGGGAAATGGACCAGCTCCTTCTTCATCAGGCTTTGCTCGATTAATTAATTAAATCCTGATTCATTCAGAAAACACTGAAAACACTGAATGAACGCCTGCTACGTTGCAGGTACTGTGCTCACCCGTTCATGCCTCTTTTCTGAGTGCTGTGTAGAACCGGCAGGTACTGTGATTGAATAACTTAGTTTCAGAGGTGATCTCTCTTCCGTACCTTCTCAAAGTGCCCTTTATGGCTCAGGTCATATTTGGTTTAACAGGGAAATTGTCTAGTATTCTGGAATCCCTGAGAACTGGATTCTAATCTGTGTTAAAATCACAGACCGTTGGAAGCCACAAGGGACTTTAGAAACCTATTTGTTAATAGACGAGGAGCTTGGGACCTGGAAAGTGAATGTGACTTATTTGTGCTCACAGAGCTGGTTATAAGTGGGGCTGGGGCTAGAACCCAGGTGTCCTGTTCTCATTTCTATAGTGTTTCCCTTTGGCATTGGGCTAAGGATGGTCTCAGAATCTCCAGACTTCTGAGCTACTTCCAGAAGAAAGATTAAACAATAATGAAGACCATATCTGCTGTTTGTTGATCATTTACTATGTGTTAGGCACAATTGAAGCTCTATGTGTATATTAATTCACTTAATCCTTGCAAAACGAGCCTATGAGTCAGGTGCTATTTTTGTTCCCATCCAACAGCCGAGGAAACTAAGGCACAGGTGTGCTAAATAACTTGCCCAAGATCACACAGCTAGGAAGTGTCCAAGCTAAGATTTGAACATAGGCAGTCTGGTTCCAGAAGCCCATGCTATTTTATGTTTTAACTTCTTACCGTGGAGGTATTTAGGCATAAACAGAAGAGATCAATGTAATGAACCCCAGTTTTAATAATGCTCATTCTTGGGGCGCCTGGATGGCGCAGTCAGTTAAGCGTCCGACTTCATCCAGGTCACGATCTCGCGGTCCGTGGGTTCGAGCCCCGCGTCGGGCTCTGGGCTGATGGCTCAGAGCCTGGAGCCTGTTTCCGATTCTGTGTCTCCCTCTCTCTCTGCCCCTCCCCCGTTCATGCTCTGTCTCTCTCTGTCCCAAAAATAAATAAAAACGTTGAAAAAAAAAAAATTAAAAAAAAAAATAATAATGCTCATTCTTTTGCTCTTCTCGTTTCATTTTTTCCCCACCCCTTCCCTCCCATTTTGTTTTGTCGTTTTTGGGCTGGAGTCAGAGCAAGGTGACGCTGAAGCCGTCTCTTCCACCCCTTGTCGGCTGTCTCCCTGGTCTCTCTCGTTCTCAGATGCTCTGGGCGTTGGGAAATAGCCCAGGTCTGCTGAGTGACCGTAGGCTGGGCAGAAAGGCTGGCCTGTCCTTACTCAGAAGATCCAGTGGACACAGGCAGGTGAGAGCCTGCAGAAAAAGCTGGCAGTTCAGGTCTAAGCCCTCTGAAAGGCCCACGTTGCTCTGGCAGACGCGGTGGATGTGGAACCAGGATCTAATTTTGACTGACACATTAGTTCCCCTAGAGTATTTTAGGATTTATTTCTAACAAATAAGAGCTCCTTCTTTCCCCTTTCCTTTTGGCAAAGCACAGTATATCATACCTGACAAAGTTACTGGTCATTCTTGATTCTCATCTGATACCCAGTTCAAAATCCGATTTCCCTGACTCTCTCAAAAACGTCTTGCTTTGTTTGAATCAGGATCCGTACAAGTCCACACATTACATTTGGATGATAAATATCCTAAATTTCTTTTAATGTGTAACAGTTTCCTGTCTTTCTGCCTTTAAAAATGCCATTTAATTATTGAAGGTCCTGGTGATCTGTTGTGGGTTTGGCTGATTGCATCCTCATGGTGTGTTTTCCTCTTGCACGTTTCCTGTGAATTGGTGGTTAGAACTGGAGACTTGAGAGATTCAGATTCCTTTTTTTTTTTTCTTTTTTTGCAATAAAGTGTCCTGGGTGGCACTTTGCACCACGTCAGGATGAAGCCCCGGTCAGTGGTCCTTACGTGGTCAGTCTTGGTGCATGAAACCGCTCCCTGGAGTGGCTCCCAGGTCAGACTTTGTTTAGGGGAGAATTTATTTAGAACGAGTGTGTTGTGACACATGGGATCATAATGTGCTCACAAAGTCTGAGAATGCTTAGGAATCACCTGATCCACAATCATTTTTTCGGGTGAGGACAGTGACTTGGTCAGGACCCCCAGCTAGAAGGTGCCTGTGCCGTCGTCTCTTGCCTCCCAGCCCACTGTCTCCCATGTGCCTCCGCTTTTTTCCTGTGATAAGTTGCAAGACTCAGTTCCAAGAGCCAGAAACTCAGCCTAACTGGCTGAAAGGGGGAGGGAGGGTGAGAGAGAGAGAGAGAGAGAGAGAGA